CCATAAGATAATACCATTTGTTATTCTCTCTTGTTTACTCACTATCTCCCTCTTTTGACTATTTTTGCTGCAACAAGTAGGGGAAGAGAATATTTTTGCTTTGTATTTTCCAAAAGTTGTTCTTCACACCATCTCTTTCCAATTAATCAAGGGCTTTGAAAACTTGTGATCCTATAAGTGATATTGTCATTGTGGTTCAAAGTAATTTCAATTCTTTTCTACATTTTAGAGATTTTCAACAAAACAAGACCTTAAATAAATAATAACATATTAATGACTTTACAATAACTAGTAAATTTGCATGTGCTTTGCACGTGGCAATTTTAGATGATGAAGATAGTAATATACGTCCAAATTATTTTAAATTTTGTATATATTTCTGTGTATACAATAATTCTATATTAGAGATGTCCCAAATGTTTTCTACAAATATTTTGTATTTTTTGTGTTCTATTTCTTTAATTTTAATATTTAATTATGACATCATGGCTTGATCCATTTGACCCAGATGGTTGACCTTATCCACCACCTAGACAAAAGGACAATTTCATTTTTGGTTCAATTCTGAAAAAAAATGTGATTTATATTATAAAAAGTATTGGGTATAGATCTAATAACATAAATTATTGGTCAAAAAATATCTTAAATATATCATTTAATGAAAGAGAATGGACGTTAGTACCTCAAATATATGACTTAATGAGAGGGATTTGATTGAAGTGAAAAATAATAGTTCAAATTACATTTTTTTACCCTCACAATTAAAAAGGGACTAAATTCAAATTACATTTTTAACATTTTTATATTTCCATGTCTACAAAATTAATCCTTATTTATAACACTTTTTTTTTGTTTAATATGATGAATATACAATATTAGAGATGCGCCCAAATGATTTTTTTTTTTGAAACTTTTATGTATTTTTTATTTTTTGATTTTTTATCATGTTTTTAATTTGTATTATTTAATCATGACATCAAATATTGACACATTTGACTAAAAAGTTGAATTGTTGACTTGGACCAAATAGGAAATCAATTTCATTTTTTTGTTGGTTTTAAAATTTGTGTTTCATTTGCATTATCAATGAAAACAATTTTTGTTTGATACTTTTTTCTTTAATTTGATTAATATAAAAGTATTAGAGAAATGACCCATTTTTCTACATTTTTTATTTAACTATGACATCATGGATTTACCCAATTGGGCCATATGGTTGAATTGGCTTACCCACCACTTTGATGGAAGAGTGTTTTCATTTTTTTTGTTAATTTGAAAAAAAAAAGGTATATTATTGAAACCTTACCTGAAGTTTCTAACCGTTGCTGAAATCTCCCCTGAAGTTTGGTAATTGCAATCGCCTCCCTTGAATTTTCTAATATAGTTGCAAATAGACCCCCCTCTTAGAATCCTCTAACAAGAGGCACACAAAATGTCCAAAATACCCATGTAGTTATTATTGAGGTTAGTGTTTGCATCGCAAACAATACAAAATTTAAACAACAAAAAAAGTTTAAAATTACAACTTTACCTTTGAGGGATTCATATGAAAGGAAAATTTATAAAACAAATTAATTTTGGAAATGATTGGGGTAGCGATTGATATGAAGGGAAAACTTGGAAAATAAACATTTTAGTTAAAGTAACTACATGGTTATTTTGGACATTGTCATGCCTCTTGTTAAAGGATTATAAGAGGAAGGTTATACTTGCAACTATTGTTAAAGTTCAAGAGAGGTGATTGCAATTACCAAACTTCAGGGGTTTCTTATTGTTAAAAAATATTTTTTACCAAAAATATTTTTCAGCAATGGTTAGAAACTTCATGGGACGTTTTAGCATTTTACCATTTAAAAGCATGGGTTTCTTATTGTTAAAAAATATTTTTGTATTTGATAAAGATCTAATTATTAGAATTAATAGATAAAAATTACCTTAAATATAAGATTTAATGTGAGAGAATGTGATTTAATACCTTAAATATAAGACATAACGAGAGGAAATTAAATAAGGTGAAAATTATAAATGATATTACATTATTAGATCTTAGAATTAAAGAGGGACTAAATTCAAAAATAGGGGTAGTTTAGTAAAGTTCCATACCCTCATTGGTACTTTTAATAGTATAAATAAATATACTATATGTATGTATGTATGTATGTATAAAATAAAAGTAAATATATACAAAAATACTGACTTCATGTAGAAATTTTAAATTACAATAAATTTTGTATTCTATTTCCATCATAAATAAAATTAACAATTATTTTTATTTGACATGATGAATATATAATATTAGAAATGTTCCCAAATGTTTTAGACAAAATTCTATACTATTTCATTTTTTGTGTTTTATCTTTTTTAATTATTTATCATTCAATTATGACACAATGAGTTAATTTGAAAAGTTGGATAATTGACCCACCATCTAGGTAGGAAAATAGCTTTGCTTTTAGATCAATTTTAAATTATATATTTCATTTACATTATACAAATAGTTTTTACTTATTACACTTAATCTTTGTTTAATATAATTAATATATTAGAGATGTGTACACATTTTTTATAATTTTATATTCTTTTGATTATTTGTACTTTCTTTACTTATTAAAGATTTATTATTTAACTATGACATCACTGGTTAATCCATTTGACCCAACCCACGATCCAAAAAGGAAAATAGATTGAATTTTAGATTTTCTCTAGTTTTTTTTGTGATTCTTTTATTTTCTATTTTTAAAATTTTATTATTTGACTATAGTGTCATTTCATTTCTAGGTTGATTTTAGATTTGACATTCCCTTTTCATCATTAATAAAAACACTTTTTATATTTTATACTGATTTTGTTTAGTATAATGAATATATAATATTAGAGATATGCCCAATTATTTTCGTTTTTCTGTACTTTATATTTTATTTATTTTAATTTTTTACTATTAAATTATGGCATTGTTGATTAACTCATTTAACCCCGACCAAATGGTTGAATTGCTTACCCACCACCGAAAGGTAAGAAAATGGTTTTGTTTTCAAATTACTTTTCAAAATATTTATTTTTATACTATTAAAATTAATGTTGCGGATTTAATGATGAGAAAAATATATCTCAAATATAGGATTTAATGAAAGAATATAACTTAGATATGAGATTTAATGGGAGAGAAGAGAATAGGAAAATGGTTTTATTTCTGATTGGTTTTAAATTTTGTATTCCATTTCCATAATTAATAAAAGTATTTCTTATTTATCATAATTATTATTGTTTAATATGTCGAATATATGATATTAAAAATGTTCATATTTTTTTAATTTCTATATTTTTTTAAATTTTTTATTATTTAATTGTGGCAATATGAGTTCGCCCATTTGACCCAAAATGGTTCAATTTCTTACCACCACCTAGATGAAAACATTATTTTTTCCATATAGATTTTAAAAGTATAAGTTTTTATGTTATTGGAATTATTAATTTATTATGTATGGATTTAATTATAGGAATTTAGTGATGAGAATAAATAAAAAGTGCTTTAAATATATGATTCAATGAGGGTAAATGGGAGTTAATATCTTAAATGTAAAATTTGATGAGGGAGTTGAATGCATTGAATAATAGTATTCAATTTACATTTTTTACCCTCACAATAAAGAGACTATATTTCAAAAAAGGGGGTATTTTAGTCAAAAAAAATTCCAAAAATTTTAGAGGCTATTGGTTGATACATTATCAATAAACTTATTGGTGAATATCACACACGTCCTATCATTAGGTGTGTTCATAAAAAAGCGAAAAACCAAAATATTGAATCAAACTAAGAAAATAAACCAAAAAATGCGGTTAATTGAACCAACTGGTATATATATTTATATGTATGTTATATTTTCTAATATATATCAATATTATATATAAATATATGAGTACATTATATTTATAATATATAATATATTATATATATTTACTTATAATATATGCTATAAATATAAAAAACTAAAAAATCGAAAAACCAAACTAGTCAACTGGTTAACCAATGGTACCAATTTGGTTTTGGTTCAGAGAATTTCAAAAACCAATAAGACTGGTTTTGTTTCAAAAAATAACCCACGGTACAATTAACCGAATAGCCAAACCGTGGCACCCCTACCTACCATCGTGGTAATGTCATATTTCTTCATATAAAGCCTCCTCTCACAAGATCGCATCAAGAATTGAGTAAACACTGAACAGTCACCAAATGCTATCATGTTACAATGTTTTTCTTTTTGGTAACCAAAAAGGCTTCTCAGAAAAATATTCCAATAATGAGATTATTTCGAGGCCCATGAGAACAAGATCAGTCCGTGGAACTAAGGTTCAAAGTATCAACACGTATCGGCCGATACATATTATTCCAGAACCTCTCCGATGCACCCCTACAGTGGGTGTATCGAGGGTTTGACCGGTTCAGGGGGTCCCCTAAACCGGTTGCGAAAAAAAAAAAAGCATCAAAAGCTGTATCGATTCGCCTGATACACCCAGCCTTGCATGGAACACAAGAATTGGCAAAAGCTGCAAAACCCAAACACGATTCTACTCTGAAGAATCGCTTATATCACCAGAAGAGATTCTTCAAAGTGATGCCAAACAGGACCTTAGAGAATTCAAAATTTATTATTATTCAATGCATACCCACCAAAAAGCCAAAGAATCGAATATTTCCCATAAGGCCATAAGAGAAACACAAGTAGCACTAGATTTGGAATTCCTTCCTTTTCTGACTAGCTTTTCTATGTCGTTCCGATCCACTCCTCGAAGCAGAGGCTACTGAAAGTCCTAATATATTGCTGGGTTTGGATTGGGAGTAGTTGAACCATTGATGGGACAGAATTGGGACCAGAAGAATCCTCCATCCCGTAATTTGGGAATTCTTATCCGACTCAATTTTCTGTTTCTTCTCCAATCCAAGAACAGGGTAAATGAACACCAGAATTGAAACATATAAATATATAATTATGACGTAGATATCTTACAAGCAACAATTTTTTATTTTACATGGCAAAACCACTCTCCAGAGTAGAATGCCTCCAAAGAAAATATTACTATGTTTATAAAATATTCAACTTGGATAGGAAAATAAGCATTCCGGTTTCTCACTCGACATTACTGTATTGTATTTAATGTGATACACATGCACACGCCTGCAAATGAAGGAGTATATTACTTACTATATAATAAAGTTGTGAGAGTTGTGGTGGTCACTCAGAACTCCCTCTCTGGAAACAGAAGGGGCGCAACCAGAGACCAGATATAAAGGGCTGCTGTGACCCATCCTGTCACAATCCGGACCCACACAGATGGCCACCCCACATCGACCAAATTTCCACTTTCCCCAACCGAGGTTGACCAACCTGTTAGAAGCATTGCAGAATACATGCTAGCTAGCGAGAAGATGACATGGAAGAAGGCATATGAGTAAGTGACTGGCCTAGCTTCATCCTTCTTCTCGTCCTCATCAGCAGTCTTGTTCATGGGAAGCAAGGGCTTGTCGGCACCTTCACCAGGAAAACAACAATATGAGTTGCATGAAAGAAAATCAATTTTAGGCTTTAAAAAGCCTTTTCACCAATCTGTAATACTAACCTCCACGGGGTGAATCTGGTTCTAAAAGTAGTGTTGTAGAAGAGCCAGCACGTACAGCAGAATAGACAACAGACAGAACTGTAGTAAACAACCCCAAAGTAAGTGTGCCAGTAGAAACAGCTTTGGTGTGTCTGTGGAAGCCATTGCACTCGTAGTCTCTTGGTTCACTGGCAAGTCCACTGAAGCAGAGGTATGTGCAATACAATGATATAACTGAAGCTGGTAAAATGCTGCCGCCTACCTGTTCTTGTCAAAGAAAACCATGAGAAAGGCAAAGCACAATGCCATCTAATCATATGTATTTAGGTGGTTCATGCATTGCATTACCAAAGTGGAATAAGGTAAACAAGCTGTTTTACAGAAAAAAGAACCTAGTAGGCTCTAAAATCTAAAGTAAAATCACCACCTGACTGTTAAATGATGATAGAAATCACTTTTATTTCTTAAAATATTGAAAGGATCTGGTTTGAATTTTGTTTTATCATAATTTTATGCCCAGAAGCAATGAAAACTAAAATTGAATAATTTTTAGAGTCTTTCAGATGATTCAATAATTGGGGTCATTATGTTGTAAATGCAAGATCAACTCACCGCAGGATGGAGTGCGACAATTGCAAAGACAAATACAAAAATCAGGGTCATAACAATAAAGAAGGTATTGATTCCACAGTCATGTCCAGCTGGCGTGAACCAATGGAAAAGAAGACCCGAGAAGGAAAATGTCAACAGATAACACACAAGTGAAACAACAAACAAAGCAATGTACCTGCATCCAATATCTGAAGTCAGTTCTCAAAGACATACAAAACTTCCTTGCAATTCTGCAAGGATGAAAACCAAGGAACAACTGTGGTGATGAAGCTGCACTATTGCAAGAATATAAAAAATATTGCGAGAATATAAAAGATAGCTAAACAAACCAGAACTGTTCATCCTTTCTGACCCATTTGTCATTCCATTCATGAACGAAATCCAACAACAAAACCACTTGAACAAGAAGAAACAATCCAGAGCCAAATTTTGACACTGTCTCTGCATTTGAAAATTTTAAATGCCAACTTAAGCCATTGGAGAAAAGATTTCAAATACCATCAACAACAAAGAAAAAAGACAAAATTAAACACACTTGAAAAAAGGTCCCTATGAGCAGTGATACATACATTCTAAAAATATAGACCTCTTCACTACGATGAAATTGCAGTTTGGAGTTCTTTTTAACCAAAAATTCTGACTTCTATCTGATCTTGACAATGCTTCAACAAATGTGAATGTTTTTCCTGATAACCAGAATTACTATTCCTAACAAATCCCCTACATTAACAGGGTTTACTATTGTTATGAAGTAAAAGAATTCTGTCTGTTGATCTTTTCTAGGCTTCATATAAATATGAGTAGCTTGATAACGAATTTGTCTCGATCTGAATGACCTTTTTTTGGCAGTAAAATAGAATTCATTAAAAAGAAAAAAGAAGATTACAAGGAAGGTGACCAGAAGTTACTTGAGAGACTTCTGGTCTATTTAATTTATTGGCATCCTTGTTTGGGTGTGTAGTAGGGTCCACCACAAAGATCCTCCTATATGCTGTTCAGCCTTTTTTTGTACATCACCATGCTTGCATAATTAGTGAATAATCTTTCATTGTTTATGAATAAAAACTATAATTGCAGTTACCTTTCTTAAAAATTTTATGCTTACACACACACACACACACACACATATATATATATATATATGCACATGTTAGCTGAGCTGTATCAAAGGCCTACCATTCTAGGCTAACAATCTTTTTTGTTCTTTCTTTTCTCCTTATTTCTGTAGGTGAGTTCCACACTCTTGCTGCCAACTCAGAATTGTAGTTTGGATTCAGCAGATTTGAATTTTGACTTTTGTAGGCAAGAGTATGAGGTCTGGCAACCTCAGAAGGAGAAATTAAATTTTAAAGCCTATCAACCTTTAAAAAGACAAAAGCAAGGTGCCAGGCCCCATAAGCACTAATCACTTCTCAGTACAATAACATGCAAAAATTGCAGCTGCAACATAATACACATTGCCACACCTCATACTCTTTTAGCAGGATTATTGGCTATAGACAACTTAGTCTAATAGATAAGCACAACTATAAAAAGACAAAAAAGGAAGAATAGTCAGGTTAACATGCTTCCATATATAATCTAGAAGAAAATGGATTAATCTAGTATCCATATAATGCTAGTACACCTAAAAGGTAAACTAGCTTTCTTGATTGCTTGGAAGTGGGAAATTCTCAAATGGTGAAGGGCGCAAATCTCATATGTGGAGGAACCAAGGAAGAAAATGGATTCAACATCTCAACAAACAATAATAAGTTATAGATATTTAAGTCACTATATACCAGCTAATTAATACCACTTACCATAGGAGCTGACAATTGCGTTTGGAAGGAAAAACATGATAAATACTAAAATGCACCAGCAAACAATCTTCGTCATCCATCCACCATGGTGCAAACGATCACGAGGATCCTTTTGATCCTTGACTCCAATCATTAGAATGGCTAGGATGGTGAAGAATAGAAAGTTCCCCAAGCTCACACGCAACACTGCATCTGTTTCAAACCACTCCCTGTTTGGAGTTTGGTGGAAATGATTGATCCCTGACAGAGAGTTGTAAAAAGATCATTTTTTTCTGAAAAAAAAAAGATTTAAGTATGACTAGCATTAATCAAAATCAAAAACCTTACAAACACCCCACATACACCAAGGACATTGAACTCACATACATCTTTCTCAGGGTCTGGAACTACAATTTTGAGAAAGGTTATATAAGAAGCAAAATAAGCTATACATGAAAGGATGTACAGATCTACAGAAGACATAGTAAAAAAACAAAAGGCCAAGAGCTAGCCAGAAAGCTATTCGTGCAAAGGTGTTGTTACCATGCAAAAAGACCTCCTCAACCCCCATTTCTCAAGCGTCAAAGATGTGGCAACTGATTCCCTAAGAACCCATCTAACTTGGACACTCAACTGAACATAGTTTCTGTAGTTACTGAGTTACATTTAGAAGATGTTCTAGTCCTCACAGCCATTTCCCACTTTATGCACCATAAGATTTCATTCCTGTAGTCACCTTCTACTGCTAAGAAAGAGAGCTGAAGATGTCTAGCTATATATAATCCTGTGACTAGAGCTCTTACATAGTTTCTATGGAATATATGTCTCCAATTGGCCCACTATATGCTCAATGGATGGTACCGTCCACTTGAAAGAAGATAAAATATTTTAACCAATTCCAGATGATTTGGGGTTCTAAATGGAGCTTCCATCAAACTCGAAGTTGGACCAAATTAGCAAGGAACGGTGGCGATATTGATCTTGTGGTGTTAGATGAGATAAGGGATTTAAAGGAGGAGCAAGTCAATGGACCCTTCTTTGGGTCTATCATCGTCTTCCTCTATTCCTCTCGTAAATTTGAGCTTGCAATGAAAAATATTCTTCAAACAGGCCTTTGGGTGAAAAGAAAAAAAACACAGGAATGCTTTGGTGCTGAAAAGGAGGTCTGTAGATTTCAAAAAGTCCTTTTCTACGAAATTTGAGGGAGTTAAATCTGATAGCAAAGAGGGAAGTATTGTGAGCAACTTGGGTAATACTATGAAGGTTTCTCTCTCAGAGGAGAACCAGGAGCAGGCAAAGGAGTGTTGTAGATTAGATTCTTTGGAGCCCACAAACAAAACCCCACTGTCTGGCAATCTACACGAGGATAACTGTCGTTCATCTGCTAGAGTTATTTCAGGGGAGACACAGATGGAGGCATGAAACAACAGGACAGAACAAGATAAGCTTTTCGGACAGGAAGAAGCAAGCAGGGTTAGGGAGGAAATTCAGGGGACCAATACCTTAATCACTAGGTATAATCGACTGGTTTCGATCTCTGAACATTCAGTTGTGACATCAGATGCTAATGACCCAAAAACGGGAATCAAAAGAAAGTTAACATTGGATCAAGGGTTGTCACCAAATATTCCCAGTCACACAGGTTATTATTGAAAAATTAGGGGTGGACTGGATCTAGGAAGGAAAAGAGAGAAGAGTCTATCGGAAAGGAATTTTAAACCTTTAAAGTCTGAGGCTGGGTCGAGAAAGACCAAAAATCGAAACAATGGACAATTAGTACATGTAACAAAAGTTTTTCATCGTTGAAGGAAGGAATTTTTAGGGATGGCCCTTGTAGTAAATTCAAGAGGACATACAAGAGAAGGGTTTCAAAGACCAAAAGTGTTGAGGATTTTGTGCAGATTTATTAATTGTTTTTGTTTATTATTTGTTTAGATAGGGAGTGAGGACCACAACACACTTGTTGGGACCCTTTGAAGTAGGGGTAAGCACTATTTGGTTAAAACCGAAAAACCAAACCGGGAAATTTCGGTTTTGGTTTTTAGAATTAGAAATTTGGTTAACTGGATTAACCAAACTTTCTATTATTATTATATAATATATAATATATAATATATAATGTATTTATATATTAATATATAATAAAATGAAATTTAATTTCATAATATATATTTTATAATATATAATATATATTATATGTTATAATATATATAATAGAGTATATGTTATTAAAATTTGGTTTTTCTATAATTCGGTTTCGGTTTGGTTTGGTTTTTATTTTTTTAGTTCGGTTTATTCGGTTCAGTTTTTGACCGAATAAACCGAATGCTCACCCCTACTTTGGAGTGATGTTTTTAAGTTTTTTTATGCAGTTTTATGTGTTAGCCACCCTATAATGGCATATTAGTCATTGTACTCTCTTTTTAATTAAAGTGTAAATACTAATGCAGACGGCAGCCAGATCTGTTTTGCTCTCTCTTACTTTCTCAACTTCTTTTCATTTTCTCTTCTTCCACAAGAAACACTTCTTTTTTTTACAGATTTTTGATTCAACAGATTTCTACTAAAAGCAAAGAAAAAAAGCTCTGTTGGAACTAGCATCCATGATAAGTCAAAGCTTGAGCTTGACACAGAGGTTGTAAGACGTCCCATACAGGCCACTTAGGAAACTCCTTGCAAAGAGAGTTGGAGAGAAAGGAATATGAAGCAGGTTTTAGGGGAAGACAACACAGGTGAAGAAAAGACTGATGGGAAAAGGAGGAGATATCAGAGGAAGACAATTCTGAGGAGGACCAAGAAGAGGAGAGAGAGAGATGTTGGCCAGAGTTGGAATGGTAGAAAAGAAGACATATAGAAGAGATAGTGGAAAAGGCAGTTCAAGCAAACAAGGCTTTAGGGATTTGGGTGTTAGGTGGGGAAGAGATAACAAGGAAGCCGTTCAAGGAACTGAAGGAAAAGTATCTGCTAACTGAAGAACAATTTGGAGAAGGTGCCCGAGGGCCATGCTAAAGCAAGGGTTTGTTTTTGGGTTGGGGAATATTAATGGGGTTGAGTCTTGTTTTGGTTTCAGAATTTTGCTCTGTTTTTTTGGGTTTGATTTCTTTATCCTGTAATTAAAATCTAGGGCTGAAGGGGTGTGTATTGGTTGGACAATGGATGTTTTCATGGGGGTGATATCTTGTCACCTGTTTTGTTTTATCTCCCACTTTTAATAAAAGTTTTCTTCTTTATTGATTACCGAAAAAAAAGTAAAGAGGCCATCAGAAGAGGTTGGCCAAATTCTAGAACGCTCAAGGTAAGAGTCCAATGAAGCCTGCTTTAAGGTTTCAAGTAGGAGAATCAAAGAAGAACATTCATTTTCACTTAACCCCCTTCTGAACCCCAAATTCCAGTTTAAGCCAATTGGAGAAGGTGTTCCCAACCTGGAAATGGTCTCTCCTTTGGATTGAGAGATGGAAAAGAGTACAGGGAATCGGTCTTTAAGTGGACTTGGCCCCAGCCATAGGTCCTCCCAGAAACGTATTTTGTCACCCCTTCCCACATCATACCTGATAGAGTTAAGAAAGATTGGGTAGACTTCATGAATTGCTTTCCATGGAGACAAAGAGGAGCAGGGAGCAACTTTAGCATCCCAGCCATTACCTTCAAACCTAGGAATGCTTGCTATAACCTTATGCCACAGTCTACTCATTTACCTAGCAAAGGGGAACCTCCACAACCATTTACCTAGTAAAGCAGTGTTTCCTAGGACAATGTTCCCTAAACCTAAACCCCCTTCTTCCTTAGGTTTGCTGACATTTTCCCACTTTACCAGGTGATCCTTTTTTTATCTCTTCCAATTCCCAAAGAAAGTCCCTCATATACTTCTCTAACTACCCTGCAAACCTAGATGGGATGCAGAATGTGGAGAGGGAATAAATAGGAAGGTTTGCTAGTGTAGCTCTGACCAGAGTAATTCTTCCCCTCAATGATGTGTAATTCCTCTTCTAAAGGGCTAATTTCCTAGCGAACCTTTCCACCACCACTGGCTTCCAAAACTAATCACTTATAGGATTTCCTTCCAATGGCAAACTTAGGTATACTATAGGCCATTCTCTAGTCTCACATCCCAGAACCTTAGCAAAACTTTGCATTTCCCCATCTTCCATGTTGATTCCTGAAATCCCATTTCTACACCAATTAATTTTCAAGCTAGTCAGCCCCACAAAGTCATTGATCAATAATTTCAAGTTTCTCAAAGAAAAAACAGTTAATTTATCAGAAAAAAGTTACAAATTTTTGGAGTAAGCCTATCCCACTCAAAAGTTAAGCTTTCTACTGAGAAATTTTTCTTTATAAGGTAAATACTTGTGACATGCGGAAGAATAGAAGGCCCCTTGTATGCCTCTCTCCTCATATGTGCTTTCTTTGTATGCCTCGTGTGCCTCATGCACACCTCATACAGAAAGACAGAAAAAAAGAAAAAAAAGAAAGAAAAAACAAAACAAGGGAAAAGAAATGGGATAGAGGTGTAAATCGGGCCATGCCGTCCGCAACCCATCACAACGGAACGTGGGTCATGCCAGGGGTTTCAAGTCCTTGGACTGGCACGGCACGACACGACTGAGCTGGCTGTGCCGCTGGTATATTTATATATATATATATATATATTATATATAATATTTAATATATATATATAATTTTATTATATTATTTCATTTTATTATTGCATATATAAACAATTGTATACATCAAAATTCATATAAAATAAAATTTTAAGATCTTTTTTAATTCTTTTGTCTATTTTTTAATTTATGTTAGAATTTTCATTATTTTTTCAAAATTTTTAAAAAACATGGCTTGGCCAGGTCCGCGGTCCAGCCTAGCCTAAGGCTCGGCTTACGGACCAGCCCAACCCGCGGCATGGGCCCACACGGGCTCGGGCCATAGGCCGTGTCAAGCCGACCCCCAAAGTATCCCCAGGGAGGGAAGCATAGCCTGATTTACACCTCTAAAATGGGAAGGGAAAGAAAAAGAAAGAATGCCAATAGGTGATGGGGATCCATTAAGGGCTGAGGTTACGGCCATGATGGAAGGAGTGCAAAGAGCGAAGGATATGAACATCAGTAACTTGATTATAAAAGGAGATTCAAAGTTGGTGGTGAGCTGGTTGCTAAAGGAAGAAGCCGGACTTGGAACTACAGCAATAAAAGGGAGAAATTTAAATGTTTAACACGAGACATGGATGTGAGAGTTAATTAGGTTAAAAGAACAGCTAATGG